GCCGCCGCCGCCGCCGCCGCCGCCACTGCCGCCGTCACTGCCGCCGCCGCCGCCGCCGCCGCCCGCCACCCGCCGCGCCTCTCTCAGCGCCTCTCGTCGCACCGCCTCCAGCGCCTCTGCTCGAATGTCCCACAGCGCGAGGCGCGCGCCGGCGCGGGCAAACTCGAGGGCGAGGTGGCGACCGATGCCGCCGCCGGCGCCGGTGATGACGACGAGCTCGCCAGAGAGGCTCTCCCGCCGGCGGCGGGCGCGCACTGGCACCACAGCGGCGACGGCGGCGGCGGCGGCGGCAGCGGCGAGGCATTGCCAAGCTGCCGTGCCGCTGGCTGCGGCCGAGGAGACAGCCTTGCCGCCGTGCGTGGTGAGCAAGGGTGCGCTCCTCTCTGCCGCTTCAAGCAGGCCCTCGCAGAGGATAGCCGCGTGGAGCAGAGTGGCGACGATGGCGATGGTGCGTGCGGTGGGCGATGAGCTCCACACGCGAAGGATGACGATCTCGCAAGCAAAGGCGGCGGTCACAGCCGTGTGCCACACCAGGAGCAGCGGCGCAAGCTCGGCAGCAAATGGCTGTGACCGTGTGCACACTCCGCCGAGGAGAAGCAATGCGAGACCAAAGTGGCGCACGAAGAGCTGCGCTTCGTGGGTGGGCACGTTCACTCGCAGGAGAGTGTCGAGAAGCGGGCAGACGAGGACGAGGACCGACCCGAAAGCGAAGCAGAGGAGGCAGGAGTGCGAGAGTAGCACGGACATCAGGACAAGTGCTGTTGCTCGTCGGCAGAGCGCTGTAGCTCTGTCGCGCTTGCCTGCGGTGTGCTGCGCCGCCTCTTTCTTTTTCTTCTCGGCGTTCCCTCTATTGCAAGGGATCCCCTGGTCGTTTCCGCAGGCGAAAAACACGAATTTTTCAATAGAGGGCGCCTACAATAAAAAGAAAACGCGTGCCACACCGCCAGCAAGCGCCGACGAGCTACAATTGTACAGAGCCGTCGAGCTACAGCACTTGGCGATGCTCGATCCCACCGTCATTGAAATCCGCGACGGCCACCTCTCGCTCCCGGACGGCATCACGCACCTGCCGGCGCACAGCAACTACAGCGGCGACCGCTCCCTCATCTCTGTGAGCTGCCCGACAAGCCTCACCTCCATCGGACGCGGCGCCTTTGCCGGCTGCTGCTCCCTCACCTCCATCAGCCTCAACGTCGGCCTCGAGTCGATCAGCATGGCTGCCTTCCTCGACTGCTCCTCGCTCAGCTCCATCACCCTCCCCGCTGGCCTCAAGTCCATCGGCGACTCCGCCTTCATCGGCTGCTCCGCCCTCGCCTCCGTCTCCCTCCCTGACGGCCTCGCCTCCCTCAGCAACAGCGCCTTCTCCCGCTGCTCCTCCCTGCCCTCCGTTGCGCTGCCCGCGAGCGTGACAGCTATCGGCTCGTGCTGCTTCCAAGGCTGCACCTCCCTCGCCTCCATCCGCCTCCCCGCGGCGTGCACTTCTGTGCGCAGCGGCACCTTCGCCGGCTGCTCCTCCCTCACCTCCGTCACTCTCCCCGCCGGGCTCACCGCCATCGGCAGCGCGGCCTTCGGCGGCTGCTCCTCTCTCGCCACCGTCACCCTCCCCGCCGGTCTCACCTCCATCGGCAGCGAAGCCTTCTCCCGCTGCTCCTCGCTCACCTCGATCGCCCTCCCCGCCGGCCTCACCTCCATCGGGGCAGAGGCGTGCTTTCGCTCTTCGTGGGCGAGCCCGGCGTCGCTCTCGAGTACGTGAGCTGCTGCCGTCCACCCCACTAGGCCTTCTACAGCTGCGGCTCCCTGTCCTCCGTCGCCTTCTCGGGCAACAGCAGCATCGCGCACCTCGGCGACTTCGCCTTTGGCTGCTGCGCCTCCCTGCGGAGCGTCACGCTGCCCGACGGCCTCGCCATCATCGGCCGCAACGCTTTCAACGGCTGCACCTCGCTCGCGCGCGTCCGCCTCCCCGCCACGTGCTCCACCATCGGCGACTTCGCCTTTTTCGGCTGCCTCGCCCTCGACCAGGTGGCGGTGCCGGTGGACGAGCCCTTCCACTGGGCCTTTGGCCCGCACACGCGCGTCGTGCACCAGACGCCCGCGAGGATGCGCGCCTTCGCGCGGTGGTACGGGGCGGTCGACCTGGTCCTCGCCTACAAGCGCTGCCGCCCCGGCCTCCTCGGCTGGCTGGAGCGGGCGCAGATCAGGCTCGGCGCATACGAGCAGGGCGGCGTTGCGCGCGAGCGCGACCGCGAGGACTTCGAGCAGAACTTTTTGGAGGAGCCGGACCGGACCGAGGTGTAGCTCTCGCAGACTCAGAGTTGCCTCGTCAGCCTGCGTGCGTGGTGCGTCTCCGTCTGTGGTCACTCCCAGAGAGTGGCTCGTTGTGCGGCGACACCGAGACTGCAGACTCCATAGACTGTGGTGTGTGGACGATCAAATGCGAGTGCGAGTGTGGGCCACGGTGTGGGGTCTGATCATATCGCATCTTCAAAGTCGAGCTCACGAACGATAGACACAGCAACGAGCAACGTCCAACGAACAGCAACAGGGACGATCCCGCACACAAAAGGGTGAAACGGGATCGGGTAGTTGCGGGTAGAGCTGCTGCTAGAGGCTGCAGCGTGTGGGCTGCAGAAGACGTATAACGGCCCGGCCGGCCTCGCCCTAGCTGAGCAGCCCCGCCAGGTTTTGTCCGCTGTCGACGCGGAAGAGCGAGGTGAGCTCGCAGAGCGAGCCGTAGCTCTCCGCCTTGTCGCCGAGCGGCTTGCCCAGCGGCTGCAGCGGCTTTCCCAGACTGCTGCCGAGCGAAGGCCGCGCGCTCTTGCCTCCGCCGCTCCGCTCCTCGCCGCCGCCGCCCACCGCGCCGCAATGCTCGGGCGCCGCGCGCTTGAGCGAGAGCGGGGCGGGCGAGCCTGCGTCGTGCAAGGGCTGGCGCTGCGGCGGCGAGCCGCGGCGCGACAGGTAGAGGGCGAGGAAGGCGAGGCGGTACCTTCCGGCGGGGGAGCGTGCTCGGCGCCGCGTCGCAGCGGCGGGGCGCAGAGGGGGGGGGGGGGGGTTAGGCGGTGCGCACCGCCGGCCCAGGTGCAGCGCCATGTACGCAAGCGACATCGGGTGCTGCGCCGGCAGCGCACCCTGCATCAGCGCGGCGAGCGCGCCGGGCTGCGCGCGCATGTCTGTGAGGACGTCGATGGAGCGCGGCCCTGCGGGGGACACGGCGTGGACATGTCGGGGACGTGTCCAAGGGACGCGTCCAGGACGGGTCGTGTAGGAGAGCGAACGCGCGCCGAGCGGGAGGAGAGAGGCGGCGTCGCAGCGACTCCGTCCGACGGGAGGGTCCGTCTGGTGGCAGAGCACCACGTGCGGGAGAAGAGCGTGCGTGGGCGAGTAGCCCGCAGTGAGCGGGTCCACCACCACAAAGCCTCGCCTGCGAGGCAGCTCCTGCCGCTCAGAGAACTGGCTGTGGAGCTGCAGGGTCCGGCGGTCTGACGCCGCGCCGTGCAGCCTCGGGCCTGACGGGGAGAGACGCGCCGCCGACCCCGCCGCCGCCCGCGCCGCCGACCCCGGCAGCGGCCGGGAGCCCGAGTCGCGAGGAGGGCACCCACCAGAAGGCGCCGCGCGGCAGCGGCGGCGGCACGGCCATCGAGTTGACCAGCGAGACGGAGCGCCGCCCGAGGAAGGCGGCGAAGCGCTCGGCCACGCGCTCGTCTCCCCACCTAGTCATAACCCTAACCCTAGGCATCGGTCCTCCACCCTGTCACCACTCCTCCACCCAGCCACTCCTTCGAGCTTGCAGCAAGCCGCCCGCCCGCCTCTGCCCTCTCCCCTCCCTGCCGCCCTCACGCTCCTCCCCGCTGGACACTGCGGTTGCCATTCCGTGCAAACGCTGCCTCGCTCCTCCTCCCGGCTAGAACCTCGACTGCCTCCCGACTGCCTCTCGACCCCACCTCGGCTGCCTCTCGACTGCCTCTCGGCTACCTCCTCGCCTCGCCGCCCCGATGGCGAGCACGTGCACTGAGCTGGCCAGCCGCGACGTGGCGGGCCTACGTGCTGAATTCGCGATGTTGGCGTACGTGCTGAATACGCCAACATGAGGGCGGGAAGGCGGTATTGTGCAGCGTCTTCAGAGCACCGCGTGAATACAACGGAGAAGAATACGGTGAATACAGCGGAATGCGGCGGAGTACGTGTCCTCTCGAGAGCTAGTTGGGAGACATGAGTACGTATTCCGCTTCTAGGGTGGCAGGCTCGGAGGCGAGGCGGAGGGCGGACAGCTGCGCGAGCGAGGCGCCGAGCGAGAGGCCGAAGAAGAGGAGCCGGCGGGGCCTCCCCGCCTCCAGCCGCTCCAGCCACGCCCCAAGCTCCTCCAACCCAGCCTCCCCCTCCTCCACCTCCCCCTCTGCTCCGCCACACGGCCGCGATTCGTCGCCCTCTGCCGCAGCAGTAGCAGCAGCCGCTGCCCCCGCCGCCACACCCACCGCCGCCACACCCACCGCCGCGCCGCAGTCGCACCCGCCGCCAGCCTCAGCCTCCGTCTCCTCAGCGCTGCGACGCGAAGACTCGGCCTCCTCGACACTCCGCCTAAAACGCACCCGTCGGCGGCATCTCGTGGACACGTCGTGGACACGTCGTGGACACGCCCATGAGACTATCGGCGGTGCGCCGGGACGAGTCGCCCCCCAGCGCCGTCGGCGCCTCGGACCGCATCGAGTCGCCGCCCCACCCCTCCGCACCCTCCTCCCACCGCTCGCCGGTGAAGTCCTCGGCCCGACTTGTCCTCGACTGCTGCTGCAGCTCCCGCCCATTGTCGAGCTGCGCCGCCCCGCTGCCGCCGCCGAGGCCGCACGCGGGCTGGGGAGGGGGGGGGGGGGGGGGGTCGGCGGCAGCAGAGTCCGTGGGAGAGCGTCTGAGAAAGCGCCTCGTCCGGCTCCTCGTCGTGCTCCGGCAGCCATCCGGCAGCGCGTGGGTGGCAAGGGCGTGTGTGGTCGGTGGACGCTTCTCGGAAGGATCACCGGGGCGGGCTTCGGTCGGCCCCAGATGGCCTCGTGGTGGCGGAGGATGCCGTGGTGCACGCGGTAGGTCTCGCCGCACCTGCCACCAGCGGGGGGGGGAGGGTCGTGCGCCGCTTCGCTCTCTCTCCCCGCCACTGTGTGCGCTCAGCTCACGTCTGATCGCCGCCGCCCCAGCAGACGGTCGAGTCGCAGAGGTCGAGCAGTGCGGCCACGTCCTGCAGGTGCGCCGCCGGCAGCTCCTCCGCCTCCCCTCCCGCCGCCCGCACGCCCTCCTCAGCATGCCCCTCCTCAGCATGCCCCTCCTCCCGCCTGTGCGGCAGAGACACCCGCACGCCACGAAAGGCAACCATCAGGTCGTCCGCAGCATGGCGCGGGCGGAAGGCGACGGCGCGGCCCTCCTCGCCGCGACCAAACACCGCCTCCACCTCGTACGCGAAGGCGGGGCCTAGCTTGCCGCCCTCGAGTCCGCGCGGAGAGTAGTGGACGACTCCACCGACGGCCGAGGGCGGCAGCGTCGCCGCGTGATTGCCGGCAAGCGACAGCATGGCCATCGCCTCGCCCGAGTCGACGAGCTCCTCCACCCACGGGGCCACTCTGCCCGCTGGCGGGTCGGATCGGGCAGGCATGCGCGGAGAAGAGCTGGGCTTCGGAGGTTGAAACTCCTCGTCGGCGAGGATGACTGGACCTGGGTGGAGAAGGCGGTGGAAGAGGCGTTGGCTGGCAACGCGAGGCGGTGCGGTGAGGGGTGCGGGGAGGGCAGCGGGAAAGGCGGTGGAGGGCAGCGGGAAAGGCGGTGGGGCACGATGCCCGCGAAGCCCGGCTTTAGTTTTGGGTGCCTGACGAGACTGTGGCAATGAACGGTGAAAAAGAATTTTGCAACGGCGCGGTCGCACAGCACGATTCGCTGGACAAGGGAACGGCAGGCGGCGGCGGCGCAGGACGAGGCAGAAGAGAATGACGCGACAGAGGAGGAAGTGACAAGGGAGAGAACGACGAGAGTGGGACGGCCGCGAGGTGGCATGAAGGTTGCAGCGAGAATCGGCGAGAGACTGCGACGAGAGATAGGAAGAGGCAGACTCCCAAGGGTGGGCGACGGCTAGCGCATCACACCCCTCTCCTTAAAATCCCTGTGTGGTGGCGGCGTGCCGTCCTCCCATCCCTCCCTTGGGTTCTCCGTTTTCTTTCTTACGCGTGTCCGCTCCGAACCGGCCGTTTTCCTGGCAGTGCGCATGCTGCTGCCGAGACCGCTGCTGCGCCTCGCGCCGCTGTTTCTCGCGACCTTGCCCACCTCCGCACTCTTCACGGTCAAGGGCATCGGCGGCCTGCCCTGCCAGCAGTGCGTGGCTGCATGCCTAGCGGACGACCTCGACGCCGGCAGCGGCGAGGCCTCCTCCGGTGATCCACCGCCGTGGCCGCCTCAACCTCCTCCACTACCGCCGCCGCCGCCGCAATCGCAGCAGCAGGACGAAGGCGACGGACCCAGCCGCGTCGCTCCCTTCTTCGTCGGCCTCATCACCGGCGGCGTCCTCGCCGGAGCAATGGGCGGCGGATGGCCGTCGCCGACTGCCCACCGGAGCGTCCAGACCGGGCCTTCGGGCGGGCTGTCCACCTCGACGCAGACGGTGGCCGCGACGCTCGCGCTCCCGCCGGCACGCCTGCCGCGCCTGCCCTCGACGCTCGTGTCTCGAGCGATCCAGACGCTGCCCCCGCCCGCTCGGTATAGCGCCGGGGCTCAGACGAGGGGCGTGGCAGTCACGCACGCGAGCGTCCAGGCGTGGGGCCCGGCGCCCGTGAGCCGGGCGTCGCAGGCGGAGGCCGCCCCCACGGGCGCGGGAGGACCCCGCGCGCAAATCTCAGCGCAAACTCAGGCGACGGTGCCGTCGAGGGTAATGTGGGCACAAACCGAGCGAGTGGCTGCGCATGACTTTAACGGGTGACACCGCTGTTGATGCCAGCAGAACCCCATCTTTTAAGATCAGACTTGTAGAGACGCTCAAGTGTGCATGTGCATGTGCATGTCTTGTACACCCCTGCGGACCCCCCGCGGCCGCGCGCGAGGCGCGGTCTCTCACCTTGCATGGTCCCACTCCCTGGCGAGCCGCTCAAACGCACCGGGCGGGTCCGGATCGGCCGAGCAGCCGCACGCGGCGCAGCTCGCTCGCGCGCAGGAGAGCGCCTCGAGGGGCCGCAGCTTGTGCACCCCGACCAGCTTCCAGCTCGCAGCCATGCGGCAGGCTGCAGAGTTCTCGGCGCGCGCGACGGTCTCGTTGTTGACGCGCAGCAGCCCCGACTGCCGGCGGTCGCCGCCGTACGCGTCGACCGACAAGTACACGCGCACCGGCAGCGATACAAAGGCGACCCGGCCGCGCGCAGACGCCGCGAGGCGCGCCGGTTGCGGGATCCGCCGCGGCCCTCGCATCTGTGCCCACTCGGGCGGCCGCCAGCGGAAGCTGGAGTTGCCGCGCGCCCACAGGTGGACGAGCGTGCCTATGTGGCGTCGTGTCCGGGCCGGGGTCGGGGGCAGACGGTGGAGGGGCTGAGAGCTCCCGAGGCGCGTGGGCTGCGCCAATGGTGGCGTCCTCATTCACAGGCACTTTGTCGAGCGGCAAGGAGAGGAGGGAGAGGGGCGGCGACTCGCCGATGTGGAGCGCGGCGGCGGCGAGGTCGCTCGAGAGGCCGTACAGCGCCCCCTGCGCGTACGGCGGGTACGACGAGAAGTTGAACAGCGCGAAGTGCTGCGTGTCGCGCCACCGCTCGGTCCGACGGAACCGCAGCTTGGTGTGGTCGGAAAAGGTGCCGAGGTAGAGGGAGTAGAGCTGGGGGAGGGTCGAGAGGGTGGCGCCGAGCGAGCCCACGCACAGGTACGTGTCCTCGTCCGTCTTGAAGATGAGCCTCGCCGGCGGGCCGAGGGACGGAGGCCTGCGGCGGAGCAGCCAGCGCAGCGCGTGCAGAGTTTTGAGGAGGAGGTGCCGGTAGCCGTCGGTGCAGGTGAGGTGGAGGAGACCGAGCCGAGGCGCCTCCTCCGAGCCCACCGCGCCGCCGCCGCGGCCCTCTCGCAGCGGCGTCAGGCGCTCCGCCTCTGCGCCGCACAATGCAAAGAGAGCAATGCGGCGGCCGCTTCCCGCGCCGCGCCCGCCGCCGCCGACCCAGGCGTCGAGCCAGGTGGCCCTGGTCAGCCCACGCTGGAGTGCGCCCCGGGCGCCGTTCGACGAGAAGACGAGCAGGTCGATCGACGGCATTCGGCGGGCGGACGCCCGGTGGCGGATGTCATGTACGTGCGGTCTGGCTTATTCACAGCTGGGCAGTGTGGTCTGGGCAGCGGAGGGCAAAGTGGGTTTCACACCCGGGGCATGGGAGGACGGCACGCCGCAGAGCGGCGATGCGCTAGAGCACGCCTCGCAGGAGCTGCAGGCGGACCGCGAGGTCGTCCTGGCCGCCGTGAAGCAGAGCGGCGATGCGCTAGTGGCTAGAGCACGCCTCGCAGGAGCTGCAGGCGGACCGCGAGGTCGTCCTGGCCGCCGTGAAGCAGAGCGGCGATGCGCTAGAGCACGCCTCGCAGGAGCTGCAGGCGGACCGCGAGGTCGTCCTGGCCGCCGTGAAGCAGAGCGGCGATGCGCTAGAGCACGCCTCGCAGGAGCTGCAGGCGGAGCTGATCGCGAAATCGTGCTGTCGGCCGTTCACCAGAATGGCTTGGCGCTCGAGTACGCTGCGGCTGCGCTGCGCGCGGATCGCGACGTGGTGCTCACTGCCACGACGCAGAACGGCGCAGCGATGAAGTTTGCTGCGGACGAGTTGAGGGCGAACCACTCCGAAGTCCAGCGGCTACTGGCGGCCGCGCTACGCCACACGCAGGCGGAGCTCGTCCAGTGGCGCTCCGGCCAATTCAAGCTCGAGATCAAGATCGACGTCGATGACGGCTCGATGGCGCCGGCTGTCATGAGCAGCCGCGACGAGACGCCGGCGCGTGGGAGCAAGCGTCCCATCGAGCCGACTGCAGCAGCCTCGAGCCACCAGGCTGCTTTGCAGGATGTCAAACAGGTGAAGCTGGAGCTGGCGACGCAGCTGGAAGAGAGCGAGCAGCGGTATGGCGAGCTAGTGGGGCAGGGGCAGGAGTTCAGCGAGGCGCGCGGGAAAGTCTTTTCCAGCTCAGGGAGCGGTTCCCCCCGGGGACAGGCTCGCCGGTGCCCTGGCGCGCATTCGGCGAGATCGAGCTGGGCAAGCTCATGAAGGGCTGGAGCAGGCAGATGCGCTTGGCGCCGCTACCGCGTGGCAGCAGGGCTTCTGGCTCTTGTCTCCGCCCGGGGAGGAGGAGGCAGCCGCCAACGGCTGGCCTCCCTTCATCGCGTCGTGGGCCTTTCACGAGCACGTCACTGTCGGCCCAGATGGCAGGCAGAAGGTGGCCTACTCTATCCGAGAGGAGACCCAGGTGCTCAGGGTCGAGCGGCTGATGCCCCCGCAGTATCGGGGCGAACCGCGCTACGATGAGTTCAAGAAGTCGGCGGCCTTCGTGACGCACTTGCGGCGCAAGTACAAGACCGTGGCCGATCGCATCCTCGGCTACTTGCTCGAGAGTACGAGGAGTACGAGCGGCACAGCGGTGGCGTCGGCTTCAGCGGCTACTCCGTCATCTACAAGGTGTGGAACGAGGCGGAGAACCGAGAGATGTCTCTGGTCGAGATGGTCGCTTTGCTGACTACTCTCGTCGGCGAGCCGGCAGCGGCAGCGGGAGCGGCGGCGGCCGTGGACTCCAGCGGCTGAGGCGACAGACGGCGAGAGCGCGCCGCCCAAGAGCGCGCCGCCGTCCACACCCACGCGCACTGCCGCTGGGCCTTGCACTTTGAATGCCGTGGGGCTCCTGTCACCAGACACCACCTTGTGTGTGGAGAAGATTGCCTTACCTTACCTTACCCCCGCAAGAATGCTAAGCCGGAGCACACGGCCCTGGCCGCTGGGGCGAGCGAGCCGTAACGCCGACATGGCGATGCGCAGCTTCGCTCTCCTCCTCTCTGTGCTCGAGCGTGAGCTCCTCGCGGCAATCTTGATCAACCGCGGTCCGCGTATCCCGGCGAAGCTTGTATGCCATCCGCACTTGGAGTGCGGAGCCGGTTTTCTTTTTTCGCCAGTGCGCGCCAGTCCCGGCGCGTAAAATTCTTTTTTCGAGACACACTGGCTGAGCGGTGGTCGGACCGCGGAGCTGCGCAGGTTGTGCCCAGCGGAATGCGCGCTGCAAACACGCTTCGCCTCTCTCTGCGTTCCGCCGCCCACCGGCCTCCACGGCGTTTGACCACCCTCTCGCCTCGGACGAGGCCGGTCACGGGCGGCGGCACGGCCACCGACGGCACGGCCACCGACGGCACGGCCACCGACGCGACGGCCGGCTCCACGCTCCTGACCGGCGAGCCTGCGAGCCTCAGCTTCCTCGCGGCGCGCAGCGCCGCACTCGGCTTGCGGCCGCTCGACTTGCAAGCGCGCGCGCTGGCCATACAGGAGGCCTCCGGCAGAACCGACGGCCTGATGCGTCCCGCAGAGTGGAAGCGGCTGGTGGGCAGGACTGCTTTCGCGCATCACGAGCGGCTGGTGCTCTCCGAGTTTGTGGCCAAGGCCCACGGGCAGCATCTCGGACAGCAGCTGCTGCGCGGGACGGCGCTGCTCGGCGTCTGCTTCTTTTCGGCATCCGGCTCACACGCGGCGGGCGAGGCGGGCATGCATGCGGTCGGTGCGCTGTTGGTCGGTGCCGTCACCGGACTGGGTGGAGGGACGGTCAACAACGTGATGGTTGGTGCGACGCCGGTGGGTTGGATGCGCGACACCGCCTTCTTGAAGGCGGCTCTCCTCGCCGGCCTGCTCGGCTTCTACGCATGGCCGCTGGTGGAGAGGCAGCTCGGCTGTGGCGGCGCCGCCGCCGAGGGCGTTCGGTTTGGCGTGGAGAGCGCGGCGCTCGGCGCGCTGGCCGTCGTGGGCGCGCAGCAGGGGATCGTGCGCGGCCTCAGCCCGCTCGTGAGCGCCTGCTTCGGCGTGACCATCACGCTGGGCGGCGTGATGCGCGACGTGCTCTGCCAGCGAGAGCTGCGGCTCGGCGACCTCGACGGCTGCCAGTCGTATGCGCTCGCCTCCTTTTGCGGCGGCGCTGTCTACGTCGGCTTGCGGGAGCTCCACGTGTGGAACTGCGCCGGCTCCACGCACAAGCTCGTCGCCGGAGGGCTGCCAATCGGCTTGCGCATCGCCCTCGGCGCCAGCACCGCCATCGCGGTCCGGGCATTCGCGTGGCAGCGCAGGCCGGAGGGCCTCTTGTCGGGCATGGACGAGTGCGCTGACGCCAACGAGCGCTGGCTCCGAGTGCTCTTCGGCGGCGGCGCCTCGGCCGACGGCGAGCGGTAGGCAGAGAGCTGTGTTCGCATGAGTACAAGTCCTCGTGTTGTTGAGTGCAATTATTCACGCATGCGCAAGCCGTGTACGCTTGACGGTAGAGTCGCATGAATACTCTATAGGACCGCGGCGGTATTCATGAGTCGAGTTGAGATGAGACTGCATTATGAACTGTACAGCCATTGATACCTCTCGGTATTTTGCGTTCTTGTGTGGACAAAGTGCTACGGCTCTACTGGGCTGGGTTTTTTTAGGCATTGTGGGGTTGGCACTCCCATCGACCCTCATGACCTCCTGCGGTCTCTGAGATGGACACCAGTGGGTGTGGGGCCACAGCTAGGATACACTCGAAGGCTGGGTAAGCAGTAGAGGTCGATACTCGACGCGTCCCACATGGTCTGTGTCGCTGTCGGCACGCTGTCGACAGGACGTCGAGCGACACCGGTGGCAGTGCCACCCAGGAGTGGTCGGGCGGTCTCCCGTCATGAGAGAGCCACCATGTGATCCGTATGATGGTTCCTGACAACCGCCTCAGTCAACTTTCGTCACAGTTCCCGCTCTGAGAGGAGCTGCGGGTCAGTTCGACAGCTGGAGCTGTGTCGCCGGCGTGCGGCGGCCTGCCTCCGGAGGTGCCTCTGAGGTGGACATTTCTTGGTCACCGTGAGAGAACGCGTTCGACTTTTTACTCCGGAACTTCAACTGAGCACGCGCACCGGCCAGGGCTACAATAGTGCCAGTGAGGCGGAGGCGCGAGTCGGAAGGCCGCGACCGTGACTTGGTCCCTTCGTTGTCCTACAATCGCTGTGAACCCAGCCACGTAAGTGGCTTGAGCTTACGGCCTTCGACTCGACTAAAGTTAGACACGACCTTCATAGCGGTGTCGTTATACGGTCCTTAGAGCTGCCAAAACCTTGACTCTGTGGCGTGTGGGTCTAGTGTTAGCTGCTAGGTGAGGGAGGGCGAGACGATCGAGGGGTCCCGTACCATCCTGCCGCGGTACACCACCGCCACCGCGGCTACTGCCACCACGCCCAACAAAAAGAGGCCCACCACCGACATCTTGTTGCCGCCCTTTTTGGGCTCGGTGATGACACCCTCATTCTTTTTGGAAATCTTCTCCTTGAGCTCGTCAGCCTGCTGCGTCGAGTACATAATTCCGGCTTTGGCACACGCGGCTTGGAGTCGAGGAATGTCGGACTTGCGGTGCCATATCACGGCAAAGTATTCCGTCGCCGAGTTCTTGTAGCAGACCGCGAAGTCAGTCTTCCAGAGCACCGACGAGTAATCCTCCAAAGTAGAAAAACATGCATGGCATTGGAGCGTTGCGCCAGGGATGGTAACAAAATGTTGGACCTTGGCCCAGCTTGTAAACAGGTACACGCGCGAGCAAAAGAGGTTAGTCATGGTGGTGCCTGGATCCGCCCCGTTGGCCAGAATCGACCTGCGCGTGTCCATGGCATGGAATTCTGGACCAGACTTGGTGAAGTGCCAGACGCCCTCGCAGTTGCCAAACAAATCATGCGGGAGGTCCGGTACCTTGCCGCGCAAGTTGGAGGCATAAGTCCCGGAATGCACCCCTTCGAGCGCATTGCAAATGATCGAATACAGGCAGTCGTTCCCGCTGATGATTGGGCAATCCGGCGCAGAGTTGCGTGCGGCAGCTTTCAGCTTGGCCAGATCGCTTTCGGTAAAATGCAGAGTAGTTTGGGCGCGCGTCTCGAGCTTCCGGGACAGTGAGCGGATAAAGAACAAAAGTGGGTACCACATGCTGTGCTTGGTGGCTGTCCAACTTGAGACCTTCGTCGTGTGCGCGGCAAGGGCCTTATCCATCTCCACTCGTTCGTGTGTCATGGAAACAGTTGTATTGGAAAGCTCAGCCGAGATCAGTTCACAGACCCGGTAATACGACCAACCATCGGCAATTGCGTGACTGAGGGAAATGCCCAAGGAAAAGAGGCTCTTGCCCACCCCAATGACAACCGTCATCAGGGGCATGTCCTGATCGACCGTCACCTTACCTGGCAAGCACTTGTCGAACAATTCCACGCAGATGGATTGCGAGGACCAAAAATCTGCAACCATGCTCTTTGGGGTCACCTTTGACGCCTGAGCCTCCTCATCAGCGCTCAAGTTAAACACACGAATCGGAACGCCGGAAACGCCCGGGAGTAGGCGTACCGCAAATCCAGATGCAGCCTGCGTCTTCGGAACCTTCACCAGACGGCCACCCAGGATCGGGTGTTTGGCCACCACGTTTTGAACGGCTGTTGTCAGGGCATTCACATCACAAGCTGCGCCCGTGTAGATGTTTGCGATGGCAATCCCAGGCCACTCCATCATGGTTGCGTCATACTCGGCCAAGTTGATGTAGCCTTCAGGGTTGCCGGTTTCGTCTATCAGGGGCTGCTTCATGCTTGTATCGGCCATCGGAAAGAGACCGACGATGAAGACGCGCGACCGTGCACAGCTTGTCAACGAAGCAAACTTAGTCTTCGGAAGATGAGCGCGTCACAGCGCAGACCAGGTCTATCCACTCACGGAGTGGTCCACCCTCAGCCTGCGGCGCGATAGCAGATAGCAGCACAGGGAATTCCACAACGCGGACCCAAACTACCGTTTATAACCACTTCGTACAATTAATAATGAGGTGCATGTCGCATCACACACTGTGCGCTGCCGATTTGGTTTCTCTAAAGATACACACGCACCGCGCGTCCGCTCGGCAGTGCGTCGCTCTGCAGGCCCTACCTATCTCCTTCCTGCCACCCCGTGTGACACCGTGCGCCCCTGCAAGATACGTTGTTTCCTGCGTGCACTCGCGCCGCGCTTCGTGCACTGCCCACTGGCACCAAAACAGGTACACCAGAAAAAAATCCCTTTTGTTTTCTCCCACACAGGCAGCCCCACACTCCTCGAACTTGACGAAAAGGCAGACAATAGTACATGAGCTGCTCCATATCCCGCCTCCTTTGTGTTGTCTGATTTTCTTTCTTTCTGCACGCCAGTCCCGTGCGGCCAGGGGATCGGGGAGGGCAGTTGTGCGGCAGTG